AGATCCCCGGTGGTAGAAAGGTCAAGCACAGACAGAACCCCAATGGTAGAAGGGCAAAACCCTGGAAGGTTCCAAGCGGTTATATGTCCAAAGCCCGAAAGAGATTCCAGTATTAAACTGAAAGATTCTTGATGGCAAAAGAGTTAATTCCTGACAGATTACTGGTGATGGAAGAGTCAAATTCTGACAGAGATTACTGGTGGTAAAACAGTCTAATCCTGACAGATTACTAGTGATAAAAAGGTAAAATTCCCAGCAATTTCATGTTCTAGTGACAAGAGGATCAGTTGCAGACAGAGAATCCTGTAGGTAATAATTCTCAGGACAGATTTCAGGTGGCAATATAGGATTCAACCTTGACAAAGATTTCTCATATCAATATTATCAAACTTTGACAGAAATTCCTGCTGGTAATAGCGTCACACTATATCAATTTATAGTAGTAATAGGGTCAAACACTGGCAGAGATTCCTCACGGCAATAGGGTCAAACTCTGACAGATTCTTTGTTGCATTAGGATCAAACCCTGTCAGATTCCTTGTGGCATTAGTATCAAACCCTGACAGATTTCTTGTAGCATTACGATCAAACCCTGTCAGATTCCTTGTGGTATTAGGATCAAACCCTGTCAGATTCCTTGTGGCATTAGGATCAAAATCTGACAGATTCCTTGTGGCATTAGTATCCAACCCTGACATATTCCTTGTGGCATTAGGGTCAAACTCTTGACAGATTCCTTGTGTCATTAAGATCAGACTCTGACAGATTCCTTGTGGTATAAGTATCAAACTCTGACAGATTCCTTGTGGCATTAAGATCAAACTCCGACAGATTCCTTGTGGCATTATGATCAAACCTTGACAGATTCCCTGTGGCATTAGTATCAAACCCTGACAGATTCCTTGTGTCAATAAGATCAAACTCTGACAGATTCCTTGTAGCAGTAGGATTAAACTCTTGTCAGATTCCTTGTGGCATTAGGATCAAACCCTGACAGATTCTTTGTAACATTAGGATCAAACTCCTGTCAGATTCCTTGTGGCATTAGGATCAAACCCTATCAGATTCCTTGTGGTATTAGGATCAAACCCTGACAGATTCCTTGTGGCATTATGATCAAACCCTGACAGATTCCTTGTGGTGTTAGGATCAAACCCTGACAGATTCCTTGTGGTATTATGATCAAACCCTGACAGATTCCTTGTGATCTTAGGATCAAACCCTGACAGATTCCTTGTGGTATTAGGATCAAACCCTGACAGATTCCTTGTGGTATTATGATCAAACCCTGTCAGATTCCTTGTGGTATGAGGATCAAACCCTGACAGATTCATTGTGACATTATGATCCAACCCTGACAGATTCTTTGTAACATTAGGATCAAACTCCTGTCAGATTCCTTGTTGTATTATGATCAAACCCTGACAGATTCCCTGTGGTATTAGGATCAAACCCTGACAGATTCCTTGTGGCATTATACTTGTAGCATTAGGATCAAACCCTGTCAGATTTCTTGTGGTATTAGGATCAAACCCTGTCAGATTCCTTGTGGCATTAGGATCAAACCCTGTCAGATTCCTTGTGGTATTATGATCAAATCCTGTCAGATTCCTTGTGGCATTCGGATCAAAATCTGACAGATTCCTTGTGGCATTATGATCAAACCCTGTCAGATTCCTTGTGGCATTAGGATCAAACCCTGTCAGATTCCTTGTGGTATTAGGATCAAACCCTGTCAGATTCCTTGTGGCATTAGGATCAAACCCTGACAGATTCCTTGTGGCATTATGATCAAACCCTGACAGATTCTTTGTAACATTAGGATCAAACTCCTGTCAGATTCCCTGTGGTATTATGATCAAACCCTGTCATTCCTTGTGGTATTAGGATCAAGCCCTGACAGATTCCTTGTGGTATTAGGATCAAACACTGACAGATTCCTTGTGGTATTAGGATCAAACCCTGACAGATTCCTTGTGGCATTATCCTTGTGGCATTAGGATCAAACCCTGTCAGATTCCTTGTGGCATTAGGATCAAACTCTGTCAGATTCCTTGTGGCATTAGGGTCAAACTCTTGACAGATTCCTTGTGTCATTAAGATCAAACTCTGACATTTCTTGTGGTATAAGGATCAAACTCTGACAGATTCCTTGTGGCATTAAGATCAAACTCTGACAGATTCCTTGTGGCATTATGATCAAACCTTGACAGATTCCCTGTGGCATTAGTATCAAACCCTGACAGATTCCTTGTGGCATTAGGATCAAACCCTGTCAGATTCCTTGTGGTATTATGATCAAATCCTGTCAGATTCCTTGTGGCATTCGGATCAAAATCTGACAGATTCCTTGTGGCATTATGATCAAACCCTGTCAGATTCCTTGTGGCATTAGGATCAAACTCTTGTCAGATTCCTTGTGGTATTAGGATCAAACCCTGTCAGATTCCTTGTGGTATTAGGATCAAACCCTGACAGATTCCTTGTGGCATTATGATCAAAC